ACCTTCTGCCTCCCGTGGTGACTCTTCATGTCGTAGGTCAAAAAGCGACCCTCTAACTCGACAACAGCACCTTCAGTGCAGGCACAGGAGAGGAGGAGAAGAGTTTTACGACACCATGCACATTCCGGACTGATAGCAGCAGCATCTGACCAACCAGTGGTCAACAGGCAGGTGGAGCTGGATAGATGGCACCCAAATGGAAATATGGTGAGCAAGCACAAAAAAGAAAATGTCAAAACAAGAGGAATGTGCTTTATTTGAAAGTGGGCATGTTGTTGAAAAATAACAAATAATAAAAATTCTTTGTGGTCATAAACATCCCAGCTGCTGTAGATCATGACAGAGAAGTAAACCCTGTTTCAACCCTCTATTACAGCCACAGCTGCACCACTACTGGCCACAGCTCGTGATCAACAGCTAAAACGCGTATTTATTACATTGGTTTTATGTGTAAATAAAATAATAATACTCACCAAAGTTGCTGATTATGTTTAGATGAAAACCACCCTCCTCTCTGCAGGAAAACGTCAATAACTTTGTCATAAAGCTGTCACTTTGTTTTAGTTCCATCAGTGAGTCCTTTTCTACAGCCATGATGGAGGCCAAGGCTGAGAGTCGCCTCTGAGACAAACTGGCGACGGGGTGGGGCGGACTCTCGTAACGATGATCAGCTTCTCTGAAAAAGTCTGTCTTGAAAACGGAACTGAAATGATCCCTGAGACCAAATATATTTATTCTTCTCTGTTAGTCATCCACCTAATTTGCTATCTGTTGACGAGTGATGATGATGATGATGATGATGATGATGATGATGATGATGATGATGATGATGATGATGATGATGATGATGGCTGATGATGAGTTTTACTCATAATACACTTGGAGATGGTTTTGAGATCCACTAGTAAAGTAGCAGGCCATAAAGCTACATGTGAGAGTAAAAAAAAAGTCATGCATCACAACATTTTATTTAATATTTTACTCTTCCTACATCACTAAAGTCAGAATGTCTTGTAAAGTTTTAGCAGCCATGACTCAGTTCTGATTGGGGAAGCACAAAAACCCTAAAAAATCAGTACGAGAGGGATTATTAAGAATGGAGCTCGTTCTCCTCTGAACACAAGTTATGGAAGAGCTTGTCTTCTCCAGCATTCATCGCTTGTGTTAGAGGTGCCGTTCCCTCTTGTCTGCCTCGTTGCAGGGGCCCGGCCTGGGGCCTGCTGACACCCTCCCATCCCCCGAAGCTTCGCCCCTGGTTGGCAGTAACCCAGTCACTTCCACTCATTATCGACATCATCATATGGTTTTCAGGGTTTTATAATAATTATATTTTTCTCAACAGTATGCATTCTACTTTGTGATGGGAGCATCTTTTGATTTGAGTGAGATAAGGTTGCTGATGACAGTAAACACTTTGTGGTGGAGATTGGTTCACTAAATTGTATATTTTCATTAGGGATGCACGACATTTCTGCCACTGAAAATTTCCGGCCGCAAATCACCCAAAAGTGCATTTTCAGTTTTCGGTCGAAAGACCTCTATCATCAAAAGAGCATGACCGAAACGTGTTCTCGTGAGCAAACAGCCTTGCCAGCAGTGATGGGACTTAAGACCCTTTGAAGGGAGCCGTTTATTCAAGGGCCGTTTAAGACTGGCTCTTTTGAACTAAGCGGAGGTGTCTCTGTGGAAGGAAGAGGTTTGATCTCATCGTTCATCGTTCGCTTTTAAGAGCCGTTCAAATGATTCAGTTCATTCGCTAACATCACATCGCTAGCAGCCAGCATGTCTGCGGTGTGGACTTATTTCACTGTCTTGGATAAAGACCCACGGAGAGCGATATGCAAAAGATGCAATGTTGAAATTTTAAGAGGGGGTGCATCTGCAAAGAGTTTCTCCACGTCGGGTTTAATTCATCACCTGAAGTCCAAACACCCCACTCATCATTCTGAATATGAGAAGATAGCGACCCAGAAAAGGAAACTGAAATCAAGCACCTCCTCTCCGTCTGTGGTGGAACGTTAGAAAAAGAACTGGATAAAAACAACACAAGGTTCAGTTCGGCTTTGCAAAGGGGAAAGGTTACAGGGTCACAGTAAAAACCTTTCCGCTTTCTTCTATTTTCCACTCAGCCAAGTATTGAAGTTTTTAGTCACATACAAAGCAGATTTTGGCGGTTCCAGTCAGCAGACACGAATGCCAACCATTTCCCCCTTCTCACCCACGGGCGGCTCTTGGTGTGAGCTCACAAAATGATGCTTTGCCCAGGTTAGAGCTGCACACGCGTGATACATTCAGTTAAATCTGGCTGCTAGCTATTAAAATGCGTTATTTTTAAAGCGTTTTTTGTTTTTGTATTGTAACTGATCCTTTATTTTCATTTGTGCAGGTGAAAGACCTGTTCAGAGAGCTGAACGTGGACTGTAATTCAATTCAATTCAATTCAAAAATACTTTATTAATCCCAGAGGGAAATTTATTGCTGTAGTAGCTCAAAATAATAATAATAATCAAGTCGTCAAAGAGTCGTTGTATATTACAATGGCTGTTGGCAGGAAGGATCTCCAGTAGCGGTCAGTGTTGCAGCAAAACTGAAGAAGCCTCTGACTGAAGACACTCTTCCGTTGTCGGACAGTCTTGTGAAGAGAATGCTCAGGGTTGTCCATCATTTTCCTGATTCTCTGGAGAATCCTTCTCTGCATTATCTCCTCCAGTGGTTCCGAAACTGCCGAAACTCTGGCTGAGTCCTTGAAAGGGCTTGGAGTTCCTCCATCTTGTTGGCCAGTGATCTCACATTGCCCATTATGATCGATGGAAGAGATGGTTTGAATTTCCTCTTTCTCTGTCTCCGTTTTGCTCCCCGCTCTGCACCCACGCTTCTTGCGTTTCAGCTCATTTGGGATTTGTGGCTTCAGTTGAGGTATTATTTCAGCCTTTCCAATGTTAATCAGCTGCTCCCGATTGTAAACAGCTTGTTGCCATGGTTACGCATCATAACAAATGCTCAAAAAGTGAATAAAGCTAAAAAATAGCAGTAAAAATCCTCCAAGCTTCACAGCAACAGAAACAGAAAAGTAAAGTGTCCAAAAAAAGACAGTTTTTCTTGAGAAACTAGAAGAAAAAATGCCCAAGAAAAGGCAAAACTTACATATGGTCAACAGAGCTACTCCAACATGCAGCCACCCAGAGCAGCGCAGTTCCGGAAAACGGAATGTAATGTGATGGAGTTGGATCTCATGGGTAAGGCTGATGGTTGGTGTCTTTGCTGACTTGTAAGTGAAAGTGGGACCAACTTCACCATCTAGTAAATGTACAAAGCAAAACCACCAGATAAGAACATGACAGCATCAGCTACATTTCTTGTACTTTACTCAGTAAAGTCATGCCTTCTGAGCAAATGGAGAAGTTAACACATCTTTGGCATGTCAGTATTTCATGGTCAGGCTTGGAGTGCGTCACATCTTAAGACACCTTCTCATAACAGAACTTCTGTTTCTTATCTACTTTCAGGCAGACAGTTGCTGCTCTGCTCTTTCACTACTCATACTTTTGTTAGCTAGACTTTGGACTTGCTGTCCACAGCCGTGCACAGCCTGTCTCCTTCAGGCTGAAAGAAAGCCTTTGTTAGTCACTCTAGTTCTGAATCACCACATTAACACTTTCCATGCTAATAAAGGAATAAGTAAACAATAAAAACAAAAGAAAATAATGAATATATTCAACAGAGAAGATGTGGGATTTCGTAGGCTGGTGGATCACATTGAGCCCCGTTGTGCTGCGCCAAACAGACGACATTTCTTAGATGTGTGTTTCCCTGAGTTGTTTAATGTCCACGGACCTCAGATATCACAGCTATCAGTTTGACGACAGATATATGGAGCTCCGACGTGTGTCTCACCCCATGCTCAGCCAGTGGATTGGCACACATATCAAGCTGCAAAATATTCTGCTCTGTTCACAAGAGTTTAGAGGCTCACACACAGCAGCAGCTGTTTCTGGTGCATTCTCCAATATGTTTGACACGTGGCATATCGACCAATCTAGAGTGCATGCCATAGTGAGTGACAATGCAAGAAATATGACAAAAGTGATAGAAACAGTGCGCTGAAAGGAATACGGTGCGTGGCCCACGCACTACATCTGGCTGTAAACGAGGGCCTGTTGGCTCAGCGTAAGAGACATCCTAGCTATAGGCAGAAGAGCAGTTGGCCACTTTAAACACTCTCAGCTCACCTATTCCCTCTTACAGTTGTTGCATGATCAGCTTAGAATACAGATTTGAAATAGAAAAAACAAAATCAGTATAATTATAAATAATAAGAAACTGTCTGACTTCACTACAATATTCTGTCTATCAACCCCTTGTGATGCCCTTAATTATGAACTCTGTCTATTTATCTACATGCCTATAAATAATTAGAATAAATAATTATAGATGCCGGCAGCCGTCGGCGAAACTCTAGCTACAAAACAGGTAAACAAAACTGTTTCTGTGTTTAAAAAGAACGAAAGCATGGAATTATAGATGTTCTTCTAACTGGGGATAAGTAATACATCTTTTGGACTGTTTTCATTAATTGATGCCGTTTCAAAATTATCACACCAATTTTAAGCATTTAAAGTGATGTGCCAAGACGAAAAAAAATGCTGTGCCAACCATAGACTGTACATGCCAACATACCATGAATTAAAAGTCTTCTTGAGGATGTAATTTCCTTTATTTTACTTTTCTCTCCTCAGGTTATCGTGTTAAATAGCACTTTTGAATTGTGAATGTGATTCTTTAAGATTATATAATTTATTTATAATTATATATTTTCTACAGTCATTGGTCTTTGCTTGGTGGTTTGACGTGACTTGTGGGTTGGCGTGTTTTCTACTCTTTGCCTTCCCACGCGAGCGGCCTTCTTCCTGTTTTGGTCATTTCCTGAGTGATATCCGGCGAACCCAATGACCACATCGAGCGCACCCAGAATAATTAGATTAAAAAAAAACGCCGGAGAGTTTGGCGCGGTTGGTAGATGACTGTTTCCTGGTGGTGGGGCGACACTGGCGGACGTCTGACTCGCGGTCGTCCCGGCTCCTTCTAAAGAGGCAGAGTGGGTGTTTTATAAGACGTAGAGTTGGATTTGGCTGATTACTTTTAACCTTCAGAAGCTTGCCCTGCGCAGTCAGGCACACGGAAATACCTCAAAATGCCTCCGGTAGAAAAGGACGCCGGGAAGAAGGAGCTCAAGTCCCGGATTCAAGAGCTTATTGACTCCAACCAAGTCATGGTTTTCAGCAAAAGCTACTGTCCGTTTTGTGTAAAGGTAAGGCTAGTTAGTTTGGTGGTCCTGCGAGTTCTGCCGGTCGGACACTTCACCCCCGCGAAGTAGACGGGCTCGGTCTAATCGCTGGTTAGCAGTAGTTTCCTCGCTGCTGACACCGCGATGGCGCGTGCGTTTCTTAAAGTCCACATACGCCACACTAGTCTACACTTATCACAGAACCAAGCAACGTTTCTGTTCGGCTCGCTATTAAGGAGGGCTTCGGAATCTTGCGACACTGAAAAGTCGAGTTATGCAAGGTCTCGCCTGTTGCCTCAGTCTAAAACCTGAAGTTAGAGCCGAGCCCTGCTTTTCAGCGTGTTGCTACACCATCCGGCGTCATACGGGTATTTAGTCACCTTAAGGGTTTAGGGATGAGGTTCGAGCTGCACACACGTGATACATTCAGTTAAATCTGGCCGCTAGCTATTAAAATGCGTTATTTTAAAAGCGTTTGTTGTTTTTGTATTGTAACTGATCCTTTACTTTCATTTGTGCAGGTGAAAGACCTGTTCAAAGAGCTGAACGTGGACTGTAATGTGATGGAGTTGGATCTCATGGGTAAGGCTGATGGTTGTTGTCTTTGCTGACTTGTAAGTGAAAGTGGGACCAACTTCACCATCTAGTAAATATACAAAGCAAAACCACCAGAGAAGAACATGACAGCATCAGCTACATTTCTTGTACTTTACTCAGTAAAGGCATGCCTTCTGAGCAAATGGAGAAGTTGACATGTCAGTATTTCATGGTCAGGCTTGGAGTGCGTCACATCTAAAATGGTCTGGATGGAAACCTGCAGGTAATTTTACGAGTGTGTTCAAATTCAGGGGCTGCATCCTGGTCGGCATAGACCAGGTCCTGTTGTCAGCCAAAAGCAAGTGGCTGTGAATCTGGATGGTCGAGCCTTCAGATTTATTCCTACCCCTACATTGGCCAATGCACCTTGGGGTTTGTGAGCAGTGAACGAAACACCAGACCCGTTATTCAAATCTGGGACAAAGGGGGTCAAATTTGTGGGTTGCGTTTGAAGGAGTCTTTGAATTTGGACAGTCTTCGTTGCAGCAGTGTAAACCCCAGCCTACAAATGATGCAGCTCCTGAATTTGGACTTAGATCAGTGACCCCTCTCCTTTGGCAAAGGTGTAATCCTTCCATGATGGATGAGGAGAGTAGGTGATGCTAGAAAGCAGCTGAAGAAATGTTTCCTGGCACAAGATGCATAATATCAACCGTTTCTCCAGGATATGGCCTTATTCTACAACGGCTGACATGAAATAATCAGCCAATCGGTGTTCAAAGGAAGGAAGAGGAAGAATGTGGTGTGGTTTAGTAACACTGATTAGATTATGAAAGATTAAAACTTGCTAAAGCAAAGAGATGATGTTATAGACGAACCCCAGAAACCAAATAAACCTGAAGTAAATGATTGTTGATGTAAAAACGGAAAATATCTAGATCTGGTTATTGATGGTCCAACCAAAAATGTTCATTATTTCTTGTTTATTTAGCTTTTGAGCTGCGTCTTCGGCACAACCTTTTGCCATTGTGATTTATTTTGAGTCAAAAACAAAATTAGGGGAAATTTGGATTTTTTTTTTTCATTTGGAAAATTGCTTCTCCGTCTTTCATTTAGTGTCATTAATATTTTAGTTTTCTTTGACATTTTAAGTTGGGGAAATGGCTTTGTTGCACGTTTGTTTCCATTTTCCTTCTCCTGCTTTATGATATCATATGATCATGCTGCTCATCACATGTTCGGCTACTAGCAGCGTCAACATTTGAAACGTTTACGTGTTCCCGAATCCAGTATCCTGCCTTTGTCTTGTTTTGTCATTTTTGGAGCTGGTAAATTTCGCTTGAGGTATTTATGGGTACTTTACACACAGGTACTTGTAGGTACGTAGATCTGCTGACTCACAACTTCAAGCAGTAAATGTAGTAGTGAACGATTACTTATCAGTATCAGCAGGAGCTGATCTGTGTGGATGCCGATGAGCAGTTGTCACACCTGAGCTTGAGTGATACTGACTAAAGTCTGGTCTCGGTTTATCTCATAAACACTTTGATCCCTGTAGGGAAATAGTTTTGTTACAGCAGCAGAACAACTCAACACTTGAGTAACTCTGGGTTCATTCACAAGAATCTGGAATTTAATTCTGTCTCTGATCTGGGTGAACTAGGAAAAATGGAAAACATGCAGCTATTTTCCTGCTGCTGTCAGGCAGGTCAGAACCATGAAGTAACTCTCCACCTGCATGGCATCTGACTGAGGCATGGACTGTGTGAGCGACCAAGGGTAAAAGTAGGCGGAGTCACAGGAAGAGTCAGAAAACCGGGTTTATTTTTTTATTCCAACCTAAACTTATTTTAAGGTGGCAATGAGTACCTTTAATCTCTGGAAATATCCAATATCTAAATGTTGTAGAAAATGAATGAAGTGATGTCCAGTTGTTGAGAAATACTGGCGGCTTCGCATCTAACCATAAAAATCTGGTCAAAAGTACATGGGTCAAGGGTCTAGCGTCTGGGGGATGCCATGTTTCCTTCTGGCCTGTCAATGATAGGCTGGATGTACGAGTTTACGTTACCAGAAATGTGAATTTAATGCAAAACTGCTAAATTCTTTCCAAATAATATGAAAGAACAGAATCAAAAGAGGTGCTATAAATGTATGGCTGAGCAGTATTGCCGTAGTGAGGATTTCATTGGTAGGCGCAGGACTGCCGAGCAGATCTGGAAAGTACAGAGTCAGAAAACTAGCATCTGCTGCATTCTCTTGATGGAGTTAACTGGACCATCAAAGTCTAAAGAGTCACGCGAGGTCACGTGCTTTCTGCTCTACAGGTACCATTTACTGTACTGTTTTTTTTAAACTAGCAGTGTGTGTGTGTGTGTGTGTGTGTGTGTGTGTGTGTGTGTGTGTGTGTGTGTGTGTGTGTGTGTGTGTGTGTGTGTGTGTGTGTGTGTGTGTGTGTGTGTGTGTGTGTGTGTGTGTGTGTGTGTGTGTGTGTGTGTGTGTGTGTGTGTGTGTGTGTGTGTGTGTGTGTGTGTGTGTGTGTGTGTGTGTGTGTGTGTGTGTGTGTGTGTGTGTGTGTGTGTGTGTGTGTGTGTGTGTGTGTGTGTGTGTGTGTGTGTGTGTGTGTGTGTGTGTGTGTGTGTGTGTGTAATTTGGGATAATTACTGTATTTTACAGGGGAGCCTAAACGCTTCCATACACGTGACCTAAATGATGCAGGTGGTTTTTCTGTTATGACCACCGCCGTGCATTTCTGCTTTGGATCAAACTGATGGTGCCTACGCCCTCCACGTGACTGGTCCGCGGACCACTTGCGTGCCGAACGGATACTTTCGGATCACAGATCATCGTTGCATCTCTACTTGTGTCTATTCTGATGAGCAGCACTTTGGCGCAATGTCTGGTGCGAGCAAGCGTGCCAGATCATGCGATTTTTTTCTGTGTCTGTTGTGAACTGATTTACCTTTTTTTCTACAACGATGGACATTTAAACTAGTTTGCACAGATTTGAAATGGATTCTCAGAGCATCGTTGCATCCCTAACATAATTTCATTCGGTTTTCGGCCTTGGTTTCCTCAGTGTTGGTTTTGGCGAAGAATTTTCATTTCGGTGCATCCCTAAGCACAAATGTCCCCTTCTCCAGTAAAAGCTGGGTAGTGCATTCTAGGGCTGGGTGAGATGGCCCACAATCAATATCATGATATATGAGGATGTCCCCTCAATAACGGTAAATGGACGATAACTACAGGTATGCGCAGAGACAGTGTCTCATCTGAACACACACACACACACACACACACATACACACACACACACAGTTTTTCCAGCTGTAACTGAATTCCTTTACCTGATGACTTCAGAGGTGGAGCTGTTCCTCTTGTGTTGTTTTTGCTGATGGTTTTCTATCTAAAGTCTGAGTGGAGCGATCAGCATCTGCACTCAGAACATTTTAACCGTCTTGTGTCCAGAGAATGGAACAAACTACCAGGAGATGCTGCTGGAGATGACCGGGCAGAAGACCGTTCCTCAGGTCTTCATCAACAAGACCCACGTTGGTGGTTGTGACAAAACCCTGCAGGTGAGTCTCTGCTGAAGACTGCGGTCACTGGCTAACTCATCGAAATCCTTACTGGAATTTAAACTGTTCTTTCAGACTAATGAACTCCACTTGGCTGATGTGAGGTTCATGTTGTGTTAACTTTCAGGCTCACAAAGATGGCAGCCTGCAGTCGCTGCTCAAAGGAGAAAACGAAGCATTTGAATATGACCTAATTGTCATCGGAGGAGGATCTGGAGGACTTTCCTGCTCTAAGGTGACGCTTTCACCACAGTCCTGCAGTTTTTGTCTGCCATCTGGTGTGAAACTAAAGATGTCTCAGTTTTGAGTCCCTTCTTTTAGCCATTTAAACTGTGAAGGTAAAATGGCTTTAATGGAGTCTCTTCTGGAAACAGGAAGCTGCCTCTTTGGGGAAGAAGGTCATGGTGTTGGACTACGTTGTTCCCACGCCAAAAGGAACCACTTGGGGTGAGCTGCTTGTCGTTTGTCTCGTGTCTTTCAGTCCGGTAACGTGCTAACTAGGCCTGATCTGTTGTTCCCCAGGTCTCGGAGGAACCTGTGTGAATGTGGGCTGCATTCCCAAGAAGCTGATGCACCAGGCGGCCTTACTGGGCTCAGCCATGGAGGATGCACGCAAGTTTGGCTGGGAGTTCGACGAATCAGGTGAGGCCCACTAGCTTTTAAAGGTGAGCCTCTGTGGAAGTGACTTGTTTATTTTGTACTGGTTATGATGATTTTAGTGAAACACAATTGGGAGACGATGAAGACGGCTGTCAACAACTACATTGGCTCTCTGAACTGGGGCTACAGGGTGTCCCTGCGGGACAAAAATGTCAACTACGTCAACGCCTATGCAGAGTTTGTTGAACCACATAAAATTAAAGTAAGTGTTGAACCTCTTGGTAAACTGGTGCTGAACAAGTGAGCATTTGATGTAAAATGTTTGTGGAGATTAAACTCAAACATGTTCTTTTGTGTATTTGTGACAGAAATGATTCTGTTTAGTAAACAAGGACACTGCAGTGGCTGTGCGTGTTACTTGCTGTAGAGCTGATGGCTTTCATTAACCCGGGGTTGTAGATGTAAGGAGGTGCAGGAGAGGCAAAGACCTAAGATGTGTTTAAACATCTGTGGTCGGATCCACAAGAGGAACTAAGAAACAGAAGCTGAAATATTCACCTTTTTAAAGAATATGCTTAGATGAGTTTAAATGAAGAGTAAGGGCCATGATATACTTGCTGTTTAACCTTGCATTGCTGCAGGCTGCATCTTTGTTCACATGCTTGCTGCTCCTGCTGCACTGCACAGCATGTAGTACTGGAGTGTTCCACGAGGGGGCGAACTAGACTCCTCAGACCGACAGAGCCGGGTTTGTGAGTACAAACATGGCGTCGATAGAAGAGATCAGTAACTGATAACTGAGACAGAGTCACCGTAGTGAGTGTATCTTGCTCGTTTTGTCAACTTCACCTACTGGTTACTCGTATAATTAGGAGGGGGTGTGCCGCTGAGCTGTGGTTATGGTGAAATCGCGTGCACCACAAACACATCCGGTGGAAAGCCCAGGGCGTTAGGTTAGTCAGAAAAGCCTTTGAGCTGTGAGTTAGCTGTCGGGGCCCTTCTCTTTGTATCGTGTTAGCTAACATGCTAACAACCAGAACAAACCTGATCATGTATTTAAGCAGCGTTTTTCCAAATCCTCAGCAGAGTCGCTTTTTTTTTCCATATTCTGAAAGAAACACTTAAATGTTTCTCAAATTAGAAAAAACAGAAGGATGTGGAACCATCACCTTCTGTTTGTGTTTGCAACAGGCGACAAACAAACGAGGAAAGGAGACGTTTCACACAGCAGCCAGATTTGTCTTGGCTACAGGTGAGAGGCCGCGCTACCTGGGAGTCCCTGGAGACAAGGAGTACTGCATCACCAGGTGAGCCCCGCGCACCTGTGGTACCAGAACTTTACGGTGTCGGGCTGGAGGCCACATCACCACTATCACTGTTTATTTACTGAAGTACACAGTACAATCTGTTCTGTTTTGTTTCCACAAAAATAAACAATCAACGATGAACAGGAGTCTGCTTCTAGACCTGCAGAAAGAGACAATTAAACCAGAAAAAAGGGACAACAATACAACTGCGTCAACCTGATGAGGAAATATAAAATCAACATTGTTTAACTGAACTGTCACACGATAATAAATCACAGTGCATTTAGTGCCAACCACAGCCTTGAGACAAGTGTTGAACGTGCCCAAGTCCATACTTATGTGAGCACCTGTGTGTGTGCACGTGCTTGTATATGTAAGGTTTCTCTATAGGAGCGTCCAATAGAGAGTGAGGGGCCACAGATCTGCCCCCCAAAGATGTGTAGGAGATGGAGGGTACTCCATGTCCCAGAGATCCAGGAGCTGCCCCAGAGTGCAGGGACCCCAGGGAGACTGTGACCAGAAAAGCCCCCGCCCCCCTCGAGAGGCGCAGAGGATTGCCCCGGGGGGGCCACAACCAGCAGCCGGCAGCATCCCGGGAGATATCAGCAACAAGCCCACAGGCCCGCCTGCAGCCTCCCATCCCCAAGCCGGCTGAGCCTGGAACCCAGCGACCACCCCCGCCAGGGAGTCAGATCTCACCAGGCAGCCACCGGGATCGATCAGGCAGACGCCAAAAATCTTAAACCCCCTAACCCGGGTGCCACGAACACTCAGACAGACCAAGGCACCACACTCCTCACCAGGTGTGGCAGGGGGACAAACAATGTTCACCTCGTCTCATTAGCGGTGTCCCTACATCAGACACCGTACAGACACCCTTAACCCCTCCCTCAGCGCGTTAACAAGTCTGGTCTCACTCCAGTGGTCCTTGGGGGATTCAGAGTAAACTAACGTGATTCAGTGATTTTTACCGCAGTGCTGTCCCTGAGCTCAGATCTAACAATCTCGACCACATAGACGTTGATTTGCATGAACTGGGTTGCCGGTGGGGGTGGGGCCTCTTGAATTTATAAACCAGCTGTGGATCAGCAGCAGCTCAACTTATCCTGATCCATCTGACAGAAAACACACAAACACACACGTTCTTTGCTACCAACCTTCTCGTTTGTTCTCTAGTGACGACCTCTTCTCGTTGCCCTACTGCCCGGGGAAGACGCTGATCGTTGGAGCGTCCTACGTGGCTCTGGAGTGCGGAGGCTTCCTGGCGGGCCTCGGGCTCGACGTCACCATTATGGTGCGCTCCATCCTGCTGAGGGGCTTTGACCAGGATATGGCCAACCGGGCAGGAGAGTACATGGAGGAGCATGGTGTCAAGTTTATCCGCAAACATGTCCCCATAAAGGTGTGTGTGCTACTAGACTCCTAGCTAAACTGATTAATGAGGGAGGTGAGATCTGTTTTGTGTAACTATGGTTCAGTTAATTTCACCCATTGGAGCTGCAGTTGGTAGCAATGAGACAGGAGGTCTCCTCAGACTTTAAACTGTTCCATCACGTCCACATTTCCTGTCTTGTCTCAGATCGAGGAGCTGGAAGCAGGAACTCCTGGCAGGCTGAAGGTGACGTCCAAGTCCACCGAGTCAGACGAGGTCGTCGAGGGCGAGTACAACACTGTATGTAGTTCTTCATCTGTCCATCCATCCCTCAGCCCTCCTGCCAGTGACTGTCCTGTCTCTGATGAACAGATCCCTCTGTTGCTTCCTGGTACCAGATTCTGATGCGTTCACATGTCTTGAGAGGGAAAGGGTTTTGTTGACTAATCCAGATGTTTACTCTGGAGTCTAAACCTGAATCGGTCACATTAGAGAAGGTCAATCTCTGGGCTTCTTTATGGTATTGCAACCAAACAGTGGAGAACTATTTAAACAGTTTAGGGTTTGTTGTTGGTTGAACACACACTCACCGGTAGGGATGGGTACCGAATTCGGTACTTTTTAAGGTACCGACTGAGCACCGATTCACGTCATTTCAAACGGTGCCTCGTTTCGGTACCCGTCCTTCATAACGAGAACTTGCCTAGACAGCTGCGCATGCGCAAGAGCGTTATGTCGTCGGTCGCTGCAAGCCAGTTGTAAACAGAGCAGCATGGTAGAAAGAACGCACGCAAAAGCTTGGGTCCACTTCACTAAATGTGATGGGTAACTGGGTGATGATGAAACCAGCGACAACGATCTAAGTGAGACATCTTCATCTTAATCTGCTCCGGTAGGTAAATAAAATGTTTAAGATAACGTTAGCTTGATATGTTAGCTTCCGTTTCGCTAATGGTGCGTTCGCTTTCTCCTCGGAACTCAGAATTTCCGACTAGAAGAACATGAACGCGCTCTAAAGTTTGGCTTCACTTCACTAAATGCGACAGGTGATTGGGTGAAGATGAAACCAGCGACAACGATCTAAGTGTGAGGCATCATCGTTTTAATCTGCTCCAGCAGCTGAATAAACTGTTAAAAATAATGTTAGCTTGATATGTTAGCTTCCATTGCCACCGTTGTTATCAGCTAATGGTGCGTTCGCTTTCTCCTCGGAAATTCTAACTTCCCAGTAGGAAAAATCAAATGAAAAAGGACGGCAAAAGGAATGAAGATGCACAGTAAATTTAGTTCACAGTAAAGATGTTTGCTTCAGTTTAATTATCAGCTTATAAAACTACATGGACGATGTTAAAATACAAACAGTTGAATGTTATTTATCGTGATATTTATCAAATATTGTTATATATTGAGAAAAATATATATTTAATTATAAAAGAGAATTAAAATAATAAACACTCAAAAGTATCGAAAACTGGTACCGTTAAGTACCGGTATCGATTCAAATGTCAAAGGTACCCATCCCTACACCGGTCACTTTATTAGGTATGTGTAATTACCAGGTTGGACCTCTTTGGCCTCCAGAGCTGCCTTCGTTCTTCATGTCAGAGATCCAACAAGGTGTCTTAACATTGCTCTGAAGTTCTGCTCCATATTAACATGACATCATCACACAGCTTCATCTATGATGTTCCACCACATCCCAAAGTGCTGGACTGATATCTGGTGACTGTGTAGGTTGTTAAGAGTCCAGTGAACTTATGGTCCTGTTCCTGAAACCAGTTAGAGATGATCTGAGCAGACATGGTGCATGATCCTGGTGGAAGTAGCCATCAGAAGATGGGTCCATGTGGTCATAATGGAATGGGCATGGTCGGGTAGGCTGTGGTGTTTAAACCAGGCTCAGGTGGTACTCAGGGGTCCAAAGTGGGACCAGAACGTCTCCTACACGCCATTAAGCCGGTGGTTTATGAGATCAACGCACGCCCGCGTCTCACTGCAGCTCCAGTTTCACTCTCCCAGTCAACCACCCGTCTCTTAAAGCAGTAGTAACATTAGTCCACACTCACAGTACCCCCTGCTGATCGTTACCATATTTAGAATTCTATTCATATTATTCTGGTGTTTCATAATAACTCCTAATAATTTTATAATGAACTGAAATAATTTTCAGAACAGTTCTGTTGGTTCATACGGAGATGCTGTGTAAACCTCGTTCACATTGATGGTTCTTTTTTCAAATTGTTTCAACAGATTATTGTCACAAGAAAAATGTATGATGTAGAAAGGTCAGAGGTCACTAATCGATACAGATCTGAAGCCCACGGGGACAAGCGCCTCTCTAGATTAAAATCCCAAGTTGCTTCTCAACCACGTCAAAAATAAAAGGTTAAAAATGATAATGGGAGAAAATTAGCAGCTTTAAATGTTTTGATGATGATTTTATGACTAAATTGTAAAATGTGTGTTGAACCTTGATTAGAAGAAAATTGTGAATGGAGCTGAAATTGCTATTTCTCCTAGGCAAAATCATAATTCAGTGTTTTTCTAAAATCGTTGAGCCCTACTTCCTCACTTCTGTGCTTTCATCTGTTTTGTTCAGGTGCTGATCGCGGTGGGTCGGAACGCTTGCACAGATAAGATTGGACTGGACAAGGCAGGGGTCAAGGTGAATCCCAAGTGAGTGCGTTTTGTTTCACTTCACGTTGGTGTGCTGAGCTGTCCCTTTAAGGCTGTGTGTTCAGTCACAGTGATTCAGCAGTTCTTGGTCTCCCGTGACTCGGCTGGGCCAGTCTGGGGGGTGGTGGTCAGATAGGAGGCGACTGCACACGGGTAATGTGGAGCTGGCTTTGTCAACGTTCCTGCCTCCCTCCTCTTTGTGATTATTCTAGAGTTGAAATCTGACAACCGGGTTCCAGACGAAGCAGACAAACGATCATCCACTCAGATTTACTTGCAGCTGTCGGCCCAGCCCTTTTTGTGAAAGACTGTGTTAATCCCGTGAGACAGCAGAGATTAAGTCTGCATGGGTTCCGATATTCTGCTCGGTCACATGCGCCGGTCTTCTGACCGTAGGAGTCAGAGCTGCGGGTTCAGGACTCCTCCGTCAGCCTGAGGTTTCTGTGGAATAAAACCTCTACTATTCCACTTCCCAGTAAAACCACCCCGCCCTCTGTTCTGCATGACCTTTGACCTGCTTTATCTCAGGCTCTTCTAACTGCAGTTTGTTCTTACACATTCTAATGGTAAAGAAGCCTCAGACAACAAGCCGCTGGATTGTCTTTGGTTTAAGCCGTTGTCACCCAGCCGACTGTAGACTGCAGCAGACTCCACCACGGTCGGTTTGAACAGCGCCGACGGACTAATGTCTGCCGCGCAGACTGTTGCTGTGGAGAGCTGATTTTATTTATGTGAAAGAGCGTTTTAACAAACCGCTCAAATACTGATTGATCGTCATCAGCTGTGACCGCCGTTCATGCAGCAACAAACACAGGAAACAACTGGTTTATTCTTCCCTGACCAGCTTTTCATTCAACTCTTTAGGAACGGAAAGATCCCAGTGAACGACGAAGAGCAGACCAATGTGCCTCACATCTATGCCATCGGAGACATTCTGGAAGGGAAGTGGGAGCTGACGCCAGTGGCCATCCAAGCTGGAAAGTTACTGGCACGCCGCCTCTACGCTGGAGCTGCAGTCAAGGTGCTCCGGCTCCCTCAGACATGGTCTAGTCTGCTGCTGTGTAGTGTTGTGGTTTCAATAACGGGCGTCTTTGACCCTCAGTGTGACTACATCAATGTTCCCACCACCGTGTTCACTCCGATGGAGTACGGCGCCTGTGGCCTGTCGGAGGAGAAAGCCACAGAGTTCTACGGACAGGACAACATCGAGGTGACGTCTGAATATTTCACGAGGGATCGGATTTACCAGACCACCAGGGACTGCACACACACCAGCAGGGGTTCATGTTAAAATCTGAGATCTAGATGAGGTCAAAGGTCAAGAATGGTTAATGAGCAGATTCCTTTCATCAGATTTGTTTCAAGACTCACTTAATTATTAGACTCGTTAGCTTAATAAGATTCAAATGGAAATGGAAACAAAAGCTGAATTTTATATTTCACTGAGCCCTCGTAGTACTGCTGAAGGATGAATGAATAAAACTTTGTTCTCACCAGAATAATGAAGCTGGTCGCCCCACCCCCCCCACCCCCCAGCATTTCTTAATGATCATCTCTAATAACAATCGATCACTCTGAGTTGTTCATGCGAGCTGAACGTGAAAATAGTCTCCTGCACCTACCTCCTGCATTAGCTTCTGATAGAAAGTAGATGCTGAAGCTGGATTAGAAAATCCTGACAGGTCTACGTCACATTGTCACTAACATTCATCACCCGTCTTGAGTCACGACGGGGAAGGCTGCTGTTGGCTCAACGTCCAGGAAACTGCAGAGTCTTGACTAGTAGAAACTAGCCGTTAGCATTAGCAACTCCACCACACAGCAGAATTCCTTCAGATTTGAGTTGTTTGTGGAGATAAAACATCAACATTGGAGCGCCAACAGTCAGTGGCAGGGTTGTGTTGCTGTTGGCCATTCAGAGTAGAGATATCAGGAAATAAGACTCCAGAACCTGCCGTCAAGAAGCTCAGCTCTGATGTAGCTCACTAGCTCCTGAAACAGGCGTACCGGAGCTTTGCTAACCCCAGAGGACGATTTACAAGGCATTAATTCCTACTGGAGACCACAGCAAATGCCGTTAATAAATGAGTGTTCCACACCTTTAAAATACCTCTACCACGCTACCTTTCATAGCATCATTGGGCACGACTGATCTAATATTACAGTTGGCACTATTCAGATATTGTTTCTTATGAACTGAGTTGGGTAAGGCATAACAGATTCTGAGTTGTGCTGGTTTTTGTCTGAGCTTTATTATGACATCATCTACAGGATGAAACCGATTTAATTGAGGAGCGATGTGTTTTCCTTTAACTTGTTACTGGTTTTGCTCACCTGTCTGTTCTGTGTTCAGGTGTACCACAGTCTGTTCTGGCCTTTGGAGTTCACTGTGCCGGGACGCGACAACAACAAATGCTACTCCAAGATAATCTGCAACAAACTGGATAATGTACGTCTAAATCTAATCGTGGAGCCAAGCAGTCACCCGCTGGAGCTCTGGGTCTGTCATAAACGCTGTCTTCTTTCAGGATCGAGTCATCGGCTTCCACTACCTGGGTCCAAATGCAGGAGAGGTGACACAGGGTTTCGGTGCAGCCATGAAATGTGGCGTCACCAAGGAGCAGCTTGATGGCACCATTGGGATCCATCCGACCTGTGCTGAGGTGAGAAAGACTGTTTTAAACTTGGTATTGGTCGTCTCATCGGCTCACTCTGTTAGCATTGTTGTGTTCAGGAAACGAGACTTTTGTTGGCGACGTGTTACTTATGATCCATTTTAATAAAGGGCTGCAGCTATCAAATATTTTATTATTCAAATAGTGATGCACCGATATGACATTTTTGGGCCGATGGCGATATTGAGATCATTGTTATGGCCGATAACCGATATTTGCCGATACCAACATACTAACATTAATGCTTCTAAAATCAGCAGATTTTGTGTAGAATTTATATTTTTAAAGCTGAATTTACATTATTTTGTACACACAACACACACATTTATTCTTCTGAGATGATTACAATCACTGACATGACTTAACAAATACACACCACCCCCCCTCACCCTCTGAAACAGGGACAAATGGTGACGAGATGGAAAAAAATCTGTTAATATCTGCCTGTTTTTTTTTTTTTTTTTTAATCGGACTGATACTGATATGGAAAAAAATGACTAACATCGGTCGATACCGATATTGATGCTGATATGTTACGGCCTCAGCCATAGAACTCTGGAAACCCACAGCATGACAACAACAAAGTCATCCAAGCCTGGATGTTATGTCTACACATTAGTTCTATCCACACACACACTCCTGCACACACACTCAACAGAACTTGTGTGACTTGAAACAAGGGAGAGTTGATGGAAATTTACCTCCCCCTTTGGTGCGATTCGAGTTGGGTTACCAGATTTATGGGTTGTAATGGCATCCAAATGAGCGGAACCCTTGTGAGGTTTGATTTGGTTCCTGTGGACCCACTTATAGACGGGATTCTTGTTACTTTGGTGATCTTGATCTGATACACGGTCGGAGAGTTTTTCAGTTATCAGTAGGGCTGGGGGTAAACGATTATTTTTAAAACGATTATTCTGACGATTATTTTATCGAATAGTCGACTATTCTAATGACTATTTAGAAAATTAATCTAATTGTACAATTAACAAAAACCAAAAAATCTCAAATAAATTCCTCAAAAAAACTGATAAATTGTTACTGTAAGAGAATAAACACTACAGGCCTTCCATTTTGTATTACACTGCTTTTGTTGTGTTGCGGTTGGTTATGTTCTGGTGATGTGTAGAACTTGGGAGTGCAGGCTGCTGCCTGAGAGGTGGTTGGAGACGGAGTGTCTCCATGCTGCTTTGTTTTGGTCACTTATGTGCGTGTGGCGAGTGGTGTTACGATCCTTCCTGGGGAGTTTAGCTCGTGTGCAAAAAGGAAGGGACAATAACGGGATTTAAAAGATAAAATGATGATCAGGTTTATTTAGAACTTCAAAAAAATCATAAATCTTTCCATCCACAGGTTGGGAATAATAAAACTAATTCTGCCTGTGGGGAATTAAAACAAAAGTACAAATAAGTAGGGATGTCCCACTGGGCAAAGATTACTGGGTTCTGGACCAAAATAAGGATCTCCAAAGGTCCAAACTCTAAACTGGGTGGTTAAACCAAACTCAAGGTGATATTTTAAACTAAACCGAAAACCCACAACACTCTAAATGTAATAAAAGGAAGATCTGCACCACAAAAAAGATGAACTCTAAACCAAAACATAACAGCTTATCCAAACGCAAGAAGCTGTTAGCGAAGATGCTAACAGTAGCTTTACCAACATTAAGTTCAAGTTACCAAGTTTAAATAAACCAAAAACAGACCAGCACAGAGGAGAGACTGCTACCACCAAAACAGCTCTCCTAATGTCTGAAAAAAGCTCCTTAATGAAGGGAGAAACGCTCCCGGTGATGTCCTACATCTGCGGTAGAGACGAAGCAGCGCATCTGACCCCGGAAGTTGTTGTCCGTTGCCGGGAGACGAAGGCGGGCAACACAGGAAAATAATCTAGTAGTGGACGGACATTGTTCCGGGTCTTCGGTATTTGGCGGAGATGTTAGTGAAGGCGGAGAAGAGGGCGAACTAGAAGAAAAACAGGCAGATTCCTCCTCTATTTACTAACTCCTGGGGATGCAACAAGTGGGCGCGGTGCGTCGACTACCGGATCTGACGTCGACAAATTTTTAGAATCGAGCTGTCGACGTCGTCGAGGCTTCGCTACAGCCCTAGTTATCAGGTGTGGACCTGACCACTTAGGCAAAAGTTTCTTAGCCAGTTTACCAGAGGTTGCTTTTGTGCGACTGGAATTAGGAGCAAAGATATAGAACCGGGCCTCATCACCCACGTGGAGTTCAGAATGTGAGGCCTTCTGATCATAATAAGCCTTCCTGCCCTCAGCTGATTTCTCCAGATTTGTCTGTGCAAAAGAAAACGCTGCAGGCAGATGGTTCTTCAGGTCCTGCAAGTACTGCTCACTAGTGTGAGCCGGAGCAGCACTGGACTGAACTGACACAGCAGGTGAAGCGGCAGGGTCATTTGTCTACCGGTCATCATTTCAAATGGGGAGACACCTGTAGACTCATGGGGCGTGGCCCGTATGGCCATAAAGATCAGCGGAAGCTTCACATCCCAGTCTCTGTAACTAGAGGACACGTATTTCCTTAAAATGCTGACAACAGTCCGGTTCATCCTTTCCACTTGGTCAGACGACTGGGGCCGGTAGCCAATATGGAAATTGGCCTTTACCCCCAACATCTGCCAAAGGTGCTCCATCACTCCAGAGGTGAAGTGAGTTCCCCTATCCGAGTTAACGCGTGCGGGGAGACCGAACCGGGAGAAGATGTGTTTCATCAAAGGACAGCAGTTGTCCGAGCCTTGTCGTTGGGTGCCGGCAAACATTCAACCCATTTGGTGAATGTACAGGTCACGCTCAAGAAGTATTTGTTACCTCTGCTGGACTTGGTCAGGGGCCCCACCCAATCAAATTGCAGGTCCGACTACGGTGTGGACGGTCCCCTGCTCTGTAGCGGAGCTTTGTGGATGGGGTTAGACGGCTGACCACAAACCAAACAGCTCTGGACGTAGTCTGAGATGTGTCTACGCAACCCCAGCCAATAAGCAACCTGGCTCAGGGCACCGAACGTTGCCTTGACACCTTTGTGTCCGGCAGAAGGAGAGTCATGAGCTTGCATGATCATGCCCCCCCCTTAAGGGCGGTGGCGCCACAACGACAGGCGATGACGGAGGCTTGGAGACGTGCATCAGCAACCCTTCAACCTTCCTCAGCGTGACACGAACCTGAAAGAGAGCACGGCACTCAGGAACGGAGTCGAGCTCGACAGAAGAAGGCAGGTGAGCTGTCGGATCAGAAAGGTTCAGGATCATCCTGCTGATAGCAGGGTCCTGGGCCTGGAGACTGCCACGGTCGTTTTCAGAAAAGACAGGTTGAACAGACAAATCCATTGGATGGTCGAGAGGTGGACGCGTTAGCAGCCTGAGCTCGAGTCACGACACACACGCGGGGTGGGTCTGACTGGGAAGACACATCGTCAGGGAACAACAAGGGGTTGAAGGACCATGGGGTACCAACAGCTGCACCTTGTTTGGCAAGAGAGTCTGCAAGGTCTTTGTCCAAGATGTTGAACTCAGCTGGTGAGTGGAAGTAGCCAAAAGGACCGAGTGAAGGTGTACTGGTGGTTGGTGAAGGTGAAGGCCAGATTTCTGGAGAGGGATTGTCCAGAATATCAATGTCAAGAGTGGAGAAGTATTTGGCGTCTCTCACCTTTGGAAGTTCTTGTTCCAGGCGTGCCGTCGGCCACCGAGTTGCATGTGAGCACAGCTGTTACCAGGGTTACCTCTGTCCAGGTGATGCTAATTAGCTTTGTACAGGTTTTGGCTCTGGTCTAGTCTTCCTCATGCTGAAGAAGAGGAAGCTATAATTGCTGCTTGTTGAAGATCTTAAGCTGAATTATGGATTTTTTATTGCGTGTAGTATTAGCTTAATAAAGGAGCGGCATGACTCATTCATCATGCTCAGTGCTAATTACAGCACATTAAGCTGCTCAGCTTCACACACACGCACGCACGCACACACACGCACGCACGCACGCACACTGTCCCCGGTCTTTCTGAGATGTCTTTCATTGGACCATACCTGTGTGTCCTCCTCCCTCCAGGTCTTGACCACGCTGGATGTGACCAAGAGCTCCGGTGGAGACATCACTAAAGCTGGTTGCTGAGGTTAAACCCTGCCTGTTTAGTGGGCTGCTCTCACACCAGACTCCCTAACACAAAACCAGTCAACATCCAACCATAGCGCTTGTCTCTCAGGACAGACCGTGTCTAATCCTGTCGGAGGACAAGCCGGAGTCTGATCTGAGACAGCTTTCTGAACGGCGGGGTTACTCTGCTCGTGTTCCTGTTGGGCTTCACCAGTGGGTCCTTCTCAGAGGAGTCCCAACACACGGTGTGTGTGTTTGGGCTGTTTGTGACGTCCTCACTCGTAACCCGAATCGCTGAGGTGGGTGAGGATTGATGTCCCTCTGCAGAGGCTTCTGATGGTGTCCCACAATCCTTCGTCCAAAACCCCAACTTTCCACACGCCTGTCGGAGACTAAATCACATTATATAGCACTAAGAGGTTTGAACGAACACATTGTTCTGGTGTGTGTGGATCACCTTTGTCTTCACACACACACACACCCCTCTTACCAGGTCTCCTGTGAATCTTCTAGAGAATGTTCTGCATGTGAAAACAGAAGCTGCAGAGGTGCTGATGTACAGATTTCTGCATTACACCCTGAAGCCTGACTGGGAAGTTATGTAATTATTTTACTCTGTTGACTTGTTGCTTATTTGTTCAGCTTCCTGTCTGCCTTTGCTTCATGTACATAAAGATGTCCAGTCCTCTAGAAGGTGATGATCTGCTGTCTGTGGGCCACTTGTTTGTTGTTCATAGTTTTGTAGACCAACGTATAATAAAATACATTCGCCTTAAATACGTGTCATTTTTATTAACGTAAAGCAGTTTTTAGACTAGTTGATTCATGCAGTTTGGTTTATTTATCAGCACGTGGAAGTGATCTGGTCTAAAACTAACCTCAACTAAACAAACTATCATTTATTAAGCTATGCCAATTCAATACCCGTGTGTGGACATGGGTTGGCCCTCTGTTCTTACAGATGTTCAGGAGCTGCAGGTGAGATGTATGGATCAGCTGAGTTCACGTGGGTGGGGGATCATTTTATCTAGGGTTTATTTTTTTTCGTATGTTGGTCAAATAAACCAAGTTTTAAGAAACATTTGAGACAAGTGATCAACCCCACAGGAGCAGAGGTCCCTCAGTTCACCTTCAGGTCAGATTATACAATGTTTGGAGAAAATATTCCTGTAAAATACGTCTCAGACTCCTGAGCAGATCGAAGATCATGGCAGGAGTCAAACTTGACTGGAAGGTTAAAGGAGGAATCCCTAAAAACATGGCGGCAGGGTGGTACGTTGTCTCCGGTTTTCCACAGTGTCGTTTAAATGGATGAAACCAAAATGGGTTCGTTTACCCATGATGCACAGCTGCATAGGTGAAACCAACCCGTTTATCAGTCAGCTGTCAACATGGTGCTGATGGCGTGGCCCCCTCAGTTTTCAAGTTCACCATGAATGCCGCCATTTTCCCTGCAGACAGATTGTTGAGGTTCCTCCATGATGGTTAAACTCTGGGTCTCTTGATTCATTTTCCATCATGAGACTTGTTTGACCTATATTAATTTCCCCACGTAGGGAATCCCACACACTAGTCCTTTGGATTGCAGTCCAGACTACTTTTTGGTGTGTGTTTTATGCGGAAACCAGATCCTCTAGGGGTCCTTGTGTTGCATCTTCTCAGGAGACAGCGAGGTATGTGGAGTCTAAAACACTTATTCAGGTGAGATCAGGTTGTCGTCCTGCACCAGAAGGCAATAAATGATCAACTGATGAGGTGGGGGTCTTTAGGGGTACCACATCGGCCCGGGGAAGTTGGATCAGAACCACGCCATTAATGTGGGCAGCCTATTCAGCTTGCCTACATCAGAGAGGCTGAAGAAAGTACATGATCACATCCTCTCGTGAAACAATTGTCCTCTGTGAAGCCATTCAGCCTCTGTCAATAGAGTCCAGGCTGGTGTGAAGCCTTTGTCGGGTTCAGCTGCTCACATCTCAAAGCTCCATCACCTGCATGGGTTGTCATGACAACCTGCACTTTGATGGTCTTTATTTGGATGCTACCCGTTTGAGGACAAGCCGTGAAAGAGATGATTCACTCACGTTTGTTGTGCAAATGAACATCCAGACAGTGATGGTGCGTTAGAGGCTGCGCTGGTTCCAGACCCACAGGTGTTGGGTCTGATGTCCAGCAAAAGGCTCCGCCCACTCTTCAGTGCATGTATAAACACGCAAAGGAATGAGGAGCTTATGAAGTCATTAGAGCGTTGTGTGACTAAAACATGAGAGCTTAGATTTATCTCTGATGACGAGTAGAGCCAGCGTTGGTCTGATGGGTTCGGTCGGTGGTCCAGGTGTTACCCTTGTGTTTATTTAGTGTCTCCAGGTGTTGCGTGTCTATTTAAAGGTAAACTTTATTGTTACATGCTGGTCTTTGGCCTTTAGGGGGCAGCACTGTCCCACAAATGTCTGCATCCTCAGAAGGTCAACAGATTTAAACATTTTATTGTTTGAACTAATGTTTTTTTGTTTTTTTTTATCCTCATAAAGACCTCATAAATAAAGGAACCCTGTCTCCTGTGCATCAAGAAACGATTCACATAGTTATTCATTCTCATGAACTGGGATCCAAGCAGCACATAAAGCGTTTTTATTAGTTATTCATGCATTTCTGCTCTCAGCTCTTTTTCTACAAAACGTTCCCATAAATCATAAATCCTTCTGTTCTGTGGGAAATGAGTTTGTGATGAGTTTTAGGGGACATGTTCTGGGGGAGGAGGACCCTGAGCTGCTGTGATCCAAGGCACTTTCTCTCTCTGGTCAGGTCCTACTCTTCATGCATACCAGCAGCTTACAGAGACAGAGGTCGGACATTTCCGTTTAGGAGACTCGGAGCTCTACAGATACACATCAGTGTGTTTATATGTCTGAGTAAACACAACTGCTGCAGTTGACTGAATCGCTTCAGAGTTGAGAGGATCAGGATCTTGACTTTAAAAAATCAAACCTCCAGATGTGTGACACAGCGTTAAGTACACTCTGATAGGACCCGCTGTCTCGTCTGAAATCGATAGTGTTTTTTGTTTTTTCATTTATCTTTCTAGTTTTTGTCAAATACTCACGCTGATACTAAAATATGATGTACAAAATAAAGAAATTAAGCATTTATTTTGAAAGGGAAAAAACTTAGGGTCATAAAATATGTTTTTAACCCTCTGGAGGCAGGTGTTGCCGATTAGCAACGTTAAAACCTACCTACCTGGTTACTCCACACACGTATCTCATGAGCATTTTCTAACTCAGTGGTACCCCTGAAGGGCTTAGTTGTTCGTCCTTTTATCAAAACTTATTTTGAGCCCGAGAGGGTTAAAGGATTTCTCGTAAAGCTGGATGATTCTGTTTTGTTACAGAAATTATAAAACAACAGTCCTCATTGGACTTAAGTCACTTTTATGTTTATTGCACCATTAAAATGATGAAAAGCGATGATGTCATGATTACATCTATAATCTCACAACACATACTGAATACTGATCTATGTGCTTTTGCAATATTGTGAGAGTACTGTCGAGACTGGACTAAAACTGCTGCATTAGCGTTGTTTGGTGCTTTAATATGATCCGAGTATGAAACTCTGACATCACAAATGTCAAGTTTGTGCGTTCCTTGAAGGATTTTCTGTTGGTATTAGTCCAGGTTGTGTAGGCAGCGGCCCTAGCAGGAAAGCCCAGACATGCAGCCACTTCCACTTAGCCTGGCAAGCCATCATATCATATTTATGTTTGTGTTTATTTATTTGGCAGACGCTTTCATCCAAAGCGACTTACAATTTATAACCTATAGGGCATGTTGTGATCTGTGGGGGAAACCGGAGTACCCGGAGGAAACCCACGCATGCATGGGGAGAACACGCAACTCCACGCAGAAAGGCCGCAGCCTTATATGTGGATATATGTCTGCCCCACAACCCATAGACAGAGCTCGGCTGTCAGTCAAAATCTTCGGTTGTCTTAAAATTTATTTAGGAAGCCCCACTTTCAAACGATGACAACTGTCCGTAGCTTCGTAGCTAAGCTTTGCATCAATTTGTACCTTTGTCTCCTCGCAGTTGCTGTTTTCATTTGCACTGTCACTTTCCCTTGCTTTCATCTAGTAATGTCATAAATACGAATAAATATTTAACATCTAATCTGAACAATATTTGTAAGATTGCCTGTTGTTAGTAGATGGATGGACTGTATCAGGGAGGGGGTTAAAGGGCGTCTTCCTGGGTCGTCGGTAAGGACACAAGTTCAGGCTTCATTTCAACGTGGCCTCTTTATCCTCAGGTGAACAGTAGTAGCAACAGCAACGCACGGGGGCACGCAGAACAATGATGCAGGGCTGAGCAATGAGTATTCAACTCACTAAGAATTACCCAGAGTTAACAGGGATGTTGGTAGGTGTGTGTGGCCTAAAGGAAGAACAGATTAACATAAAATATATTCTGCCCCATTTGTTCAAACTAACACAACATAGTAGGAGAAAAACCCTCTAAACCAGGGGTGTCAATCATGCGGCCCGCGGGCCAGATGCAGCCCGCACACAGGTTACGTCCGGCCCACGAGATGGTTGTATAAACTTAATTTTCAAACTACAATGTAGAGTGAAAATAAACTCTAATTTTTCAATTTAAAAGAACTGCTGTTCCCAACACGTCTACTAGATGGTGCAATAGACTTAAGCAAGCAAGCCGTTTATATTCAGCCAGAACAAGTACATCAACCAAGTGCAACAGGTGTTCTGATGCTACTTTGTTTTGCCCCGATATCAAATCCGGCGTGTACATTTTGTGCTTCAGCCCAAGATGCCTCTGTCAAAAAGGAGAAAAGTGGACACAGAGTGCAGGTTGTTCCAAGAAAAATGGACATCCCCCTATTTTTTCATGGAAGTGAACGGAAAAGCTGTGTTTGGTGTGTTCACAGCATGTTGCAGTGCTGAAAGAATATAGTCTTTGTCGCCATTACGTGAGTCTTCATGCCGAAAAATATGACAAATTTGAAGGACAGAGAAGGTGAATGAACCGTTGGCCGGACTGAAGAAACAGCAGCCTGCGTTTTCTCACAGCCGAGATATCAGTGATGCTGCAGTGAAAGCTAGCTACCTGATTGCTAATGAAATTGCAGTGGCTTCAAAACCATTTAGTGAGGGGGCATTTGTAAAAATGTGAATGATGAAGGCAGCGGAGAAAAGTGCCAATCTTTTGCAAAAATCAGCCTGACCAGAAACACAATTCCAGACAGGATTTCCGATATTTAAGCGGATTTGGACAGCCAACTGAAGGAAAAAGTAAAGTCCTTTATTGCTTTTTCAGTTGCTATTGATGAAAGCACAGACATTACAGATGTAGCTCAACTGGCGATTTTCATCCGCGGAGTTGATGACACGTTGACCGTCACCGAGGAGTTTGTTGAGCTGGTGCCCACGACGGATACAACAACAGCAGCTGATATTTTCACCACACTCATTGGAAGTCCTGGACAGGGTCAGAGTGCAATGGTCACACGCTGTAAGCCTCGCTACAGATGGTGCGCCCTCAATGACTGGGAGAAAAAGCAGGTTTTAATTTACCGGTCGGGCCCACTTGGAACTAGATTTTCCTCAATGTGGCCCCTGAGCTAAAATGAGTTTGACACCCCTGCTCTAAACAGAAAATAATATAATAATCAGCAGGCCCAGATCACCTTGGTCTGGACAACCCAGTCTACATGGCCACACCAACTAAAAACCCTCTGGGTAAACTGCCAGGGCAGACATGTT